ATGATTAGTACTTTAGATATCAGTAGAAAAGCTGAAAATTAATTATGCAAATTAGGTAATTAATATGCACAATTATTTACCCTAAAACTAATCAGGTCTCTGCATAGTCCTAAAGGATCTATGTACCAAGTTTCATTGAAATGCGATGATTAGTACTTGAGATACCCGTGGAAAAGCTGAAAATTAACTAATTATGCAAATTAGGTGATTAGTAAGCACAAATATTTATCGGAAACAATCTATCTCTGCATACTCCTTGAGTATGTAAGTACCAAGTTTCATTGAAATGTAATGCTCACTACTTATATCAAATGCTGAAAATTAATTAATTATGCAAATTAGGTAATTAATATGTACTGATATTACTATAAAGACTATCAGGTCTGTGCAGTGTCATATGACATCTATGTACCAAGTTTCATTGAAATGTGATGATTAGTACTTGAGATATCAGTGGAAAAACCGAAAATTGACTAATCATTATGCAAATTAGGTAATTAGTATCCACGAATTATTACCAAAAACTAATCAAAACCTAGCATTAGTTCAGAGCATCTATGTACCAAGTTTCATCAAAATCCAATGAGTGGTTCTTTAGATATCAGTGGAACAGTCATAGAACAGCTAAAAATTAGCTAATTATCATGCAAATTAGGTAATTAACGAGCATGGATTTTCACCAAAACCTAATCAAATCTAATCAAAAACCGATGTATGGTTCTTGAGATAGCAGTGGAACAGTCGGACACACGGACACACATACACACACACACACACACACACACACACACAGACACACTAACTGCAAAGACTCCCATTATGTGCTTCGCACATGGGAGTCAAAAACAACCAGCAGGGATATAAAAACCACCAGGGATAGTGAAAATAGTGAAAAGTTTTGGGAACAACCTTTCATTAGCAGGAAAATAGTAGACAGAACAATAGGGCATAGTGAAATAGCCAATCAAAGCAATGAATTAGGGAATGCTTACATTTTCTAAATTTGAGACATGATTGGATGATGTCCAAGAGATTCAACCAATATCTTACTATAGATTGGGTGTAAGGCTGTGTTCATACAGTCTTCAAGAGCTGTATTTTTCACCAGGTGAAAAAACACTGTAAAAACTAGAGTTTTCTTGAAAAATGGTTCAAAAACAAGCTCATGCAATTTTTGCGAAAACATTTGAAAAGATATACTATAAACAAAGCCAAGCAGTGACCCTCATTAGGATTCTGATCACTATGTAGTAAGGAAGCATACTTAATCAGTGAGGCTAATAGCTTGTTCCATACAGTTGACATGAATACAGATCAAAAATAAAAAAATGTGATAAAAATGGTTAAAATACAAAACATTGCAGTGTTTGGGAAATGGAAGAGTTAAAGCGGGGAGTAGTCACCTGCGCATCCGTCAGATGGCCATAGCACGTCATTGTTTACAAACATGCGTCTACCCATGAGCCTTTGCGTTTTAACGCGTGTTGTTATCGCTCGGGACTCAATTCCCACATGTGCACAGGTGACAACCCTCTCGTTTTAAGCATGAAAAAACTAACAACTTGTGTCCCCTGCAAAGTTTGAGTCGCTATTAATATTAATGAATTGAAAATGTGCGTAGTAGTAGTAAATGGAATGTTGTGCACACACAAATACACTTGTACTGTAGTAGGCATCCATAACAAACTGAGCAATGAAACAGTCAAATCCATGCTATTTCAATACAATCATCTAAAGCCATTGGGAATGCAATTGAAATACAATAACAAAGCAGATGATAGTTTTTTTTTTCTGTCAAATGTCATATGCACATCATGCAAATACAGTATTTGCTCTATTAGAAGACAACCTTTGATAGACACGCTCATAAACTAAAAAACTTGTTTACTGTATAATGAATAAGTAAAAAATAATATTTGTTTTAACCATACCTCTGTTATTTACATCTGTGCAAGTGTTACTAATAGAGCAAATACAGTACAGTTGTTTCTAAAAATAGTACCAATTATGTCACTGATAGACAATAATGGCAGTGTCGGTTAGGGCACATGTAAGGGACACAAGTTGTAATTTGTAATCACCTTTTTGATTCCCACCCAATTCCAAATTTCAACACTTTCTGTACATGTACATGTTTTGAGTGAGATTCCTAGTTCTGACTGTAGTTATTTTTTGCGTTTCCATATGTTTCCAATATAAACATGTAATTTTGTTATTCCAAACTGCATTCAGACTATTTAAGTCATTAGTAAAATTACATCAAAACTTTCGTTAATGTATTGCCAGATGACATCGTTTTTCCCATTCATTCATGGAGGCTTTTAGCAGGTGATGTGTTAAGTTTTCTGATCAATATGACTAATGAGTTAACGAAGACAAAAAAGCACTTATTGGCGAGGAGAACATATTAATAGAGCTCACCTTGCAAACACAGGCATCCACCATTGTTTTATGTCTTCACCAAACACTTGTTTTATATTTTCCAGTTTGGTATTCATGCTAAAACCATCTTTGTCAGGACCGCTGCTGAATACTGGTGTCCTGAAAGACTCTGTTCATTCAGAAAGATGCACATTTAACACATTATTATTTGCTCTAATATCAACACAATTAATCAAGAATTCAAAAAATTGTTAAAGGTTTATGAGCTTCAATTTTAGAATAATTATGAATCCATCAAAATTTAATTATTAATTAAATTGTCAGTGGTGAAACAAAACTAGATTTTTTAACTTTTGCTTTTAAATTTGTATGCAGCTATTTACAGTAAGTATATTTATGGAATTTATATCTCATGATGCATCTGCTCAGTAAAATGCTAAAAACTGGCTTGTACTTAAAGGTGGTCATGTTAAATCCAAGGCATATATGAATATCGCTAGCTCTAAATCCCCGTGTGTTGAGAATTTATAGCCACATGTACATACATGTACACTCATATCACATTGTATGGAATGTACTTACCTAATGTTGTTTTATTGACAGAGACAAGATAACAATGATATCCAAATAAGGATATCAAACTGAGCGCAAACATAGCGGCAGCAAAGAACAAGAAGAGTATATGGAATTTTCCAGGGGTACTGCCCAATGTGTTCTGCAAATGAGAGAAAACATGAACAGATTAGACAATTTCAAGTGCCTTTAAAAATTAGGTACATGTATTTATGGTTAGGAAATGGTTGAATACTCATGACATTGTAAGCGTCTAGCAAGACATGTTTGTTGGCTTATCACTTTTTTTATCACGAATATTCAAGTGTACTGATTGAAATATATACGTCCTTGTTCAATTTGTCTTGATTTTATTTCTTAGAAAAAGATGCACCATGGGAGGACCATCATGCATATAACCATATCTGTAATCACTGTATTGATTTATTCTTAAAACTTTTTTTTTCTTTCAAAATGCAATCACATGTACAACTGTTAAAATGTACTCATTCGAGTGCCAGCAACAGACAAATTCAATATACAAAAAAATAATAATAGCATATTACCAACGTAGAATCTAGTAAAATACAAAAGTATCCAGAAGTGTCCCAATTCTCATTATTTCATACCCTGAGCCTACTCCAAAACTTTGTAAAATGTAACGACCACAAACACGTTCTGAGGCAAGGAATGGTCAGCTGTGAACCATGATATTAATGACTTGTATAGTACTGTTAAAGTTTTCAAGGTTATTATATTTCATGCACACATTTTGGTGCAGCATTGTTGTATTATTTGATAATTGTCAAAAAACGGAGAAAAAAATGCAGGATTATATTGTGAAAGGTGATAAAATTGACTTGGCTTTTAAAGTGTTAAAGCAATGATATGTAAATGTAGTCTTTGTATACTTACACTCCAGAATTCTATGAAGTACTGAAGGACTGTGGCAGCCACATAAAGACAGTAGAGTAGACCATACATCAAGAACAAGATGAAGAATTTGTAATTTGAAAATCCAACGCAGTTATTCACCCATGGACAATGGTGATCCATTTTCAGAACACATCTAAAAAAGAACAAATTGAGATTATAGATCTGTGTCAAAAAATGACCAAGTGTATATGTAAATGGGATTTATTAATATCATTTGATTCAACATTTCCTGTTTTTTCCCATTCATTTCAGCTATCTATAGAGGCTTTCTTCAGATCAAGTGTTAATAACAGGGACTGAACTAAAATTAATGATATTAATTTGATAAATTAGGGATTACTGGAGAAATAACAGGAAAATTGGTCATACTATGGAGGTAAATCTCTTTTCATTATGGATCACACATATTTATTATACTACAATAGTAATGCAAGCTGTCTATGGTCAAAATAAGTGATATTTTAATGACCCAGTATACAAATACATGCAACTGTTGGTTATGGCATGCACTTCTAATTTAATACAGTATGGTGAATCAACGATGTGTTCATCACACGCATTCTAATGTGAGTGTATAACAAGTTTTGCTACTGCAGAGAGGGAAATATTCACCGGGTTTACCATCGCTAATACAGTGGAACTGATGTTGCAGGGAGTTTTAAATTCACCAGTTTGTGAAAAAAACAATACATTCTATTATCATGTTTGCAATTTTAATTTTAATGACATTTTTAGTAGCTATTTAGTTATTCATGTTGATGTGTACAATGGCTTTTGTTTTCACTGATTTTTTTTTTTCAGGATACTACACTGATAAGCTAGACGTACAATGAATTATTTTGGACTTGACAAGATGAATCATGACGATTTGAATTTTTTATTTGACAATTTTATTCTATACAAGACAAAAGCTGAAAATGTCTGGCAAAGATTTTCAAACAAATGCCTACTGCTAATGACCTACTTCATGGATACAACCTTTTTATCCAATCTCTTTACACACATCCGACCTGCATTGAGTAGACTGCACATTTAACACATATGATTAATTAATGTTATAACCATTTATGTTCATGTTAAGTACATAACCAAAGTAAAAGAGGCATTTATTTATATGTTTATAACAATATTTACCTAAGTGGTCGCTTTAATGAGCATGACATGTTGAGACAAATACAGATCAACTGGAGCATAGCAGGTAAATTATATTGTAAAATGTGTAATATTACCTAAAGGTATAATGAAGTGAATTGTAGGCACTAAAATGCAGGAGATGGGACATGCTCAATTGAGATTGTGATGCCCGAGTGCACATTCGCACTGACAACCTGTTGATTAACCCTAATCCTGTCAGCCCCAAGTACTTTTACACTGACTTGACGACTTAAGGGATGAAGCAATAAAATTCTTTTTTTACAAGAATCCATTCACCTGGACCAGTGAGCAAAAAATAAAGACAGTCGTGTGAAATTTTGAGAAATAAAACAGGGTCACAAGATTGATTATACTTCACTGATGTTCATGCTAACACCCCTCCACACTTTTGAGGGATTTTTATTTTTAGGAGTCAAGTTCAACTCAGAGCCAACCCCTTTCAAAATTTCCTAAATTTGAACATTGTATTTATTCATTGCAAAAGTGTTAGGTCTACGTGGATACCAGTGTTGAGACAATGTTTAATCGCAGGTACACAATATTCACTATAAACTTGCACAAATTTTTTGAGGGATGCTTAACTAAAATATTATACTAAGATTATTCATTCTGTATGAACTTACGTTTCACAGACTGAACAATGATGACACCTATCTGGTTTGATTGCTCTGCAAATATCACAGTACCGTATACCTAATAATGAAAGCAAAGATATATCATAAAGTGTGTGTTTTTTATACAGACACTCAAAAGAAGTACACCACACAAGTATTCAGAATATTGCAACATTTTGTATTCATAAATTATATATTTATAATAATTTAAAGACAGATCACCTAAATTAAGGGTAGTTCAAGTGAGCATGAGAGGGCAAATATACAACATATCGGGAGGATTCATAATTCATAAAGTATATACCGGATTCTGCCGTAAATTCACCCAGGGCCGTTAAACGGCAGTTCGGGTTTTCAAAAAAATGAATGGGACCAAATAATCGTTTAAGGTGTTATTTTAATCTTTTCTGATGCCTACAAGTTTCGCCGTAGTCATTGACACCTATTCAAGAGTATTGATGTTTATTATGACTAGCGTGAATGGGTAAGCTTCGTTTCGACAATGAGCTGTTATCGCTGTAAATAATGTTAAATTATTCTTCAAATGCTCAGTTTATCTTTTGAAAACAACAATTTTTTTTATTTAAGAACAAATCGTGCCGCTTTCCTGTCAAAATCTAAGCCAAAAGATCGTACAACATTGGCAAATTTTTTCCGTACTGCGTTCAATAACATTAACATATTTAAATGAGCTATGGTATTTTGAACACGTTGGCATCCTCCATCGTTTTCATTGGTTAATTAATTATCGATTTAAACTGTCAGGTCAAAGAACACTGTCTCAGGTCAAACAAGGCAGATATTCATTTCCACAGCATCGAGCGCTGAAAGTGCGATCAGAATCATTCGCTTACGATGAAATAATTTGAAATTTATTTCCATCTCATAACAATTCAACGAATTTATTTTTTGCACGTTATTATAATTATTAGTAGGTAATAATCAACAACGCAGCATGGCCGGATTGCGATATCGCGGTCATTTGCTACTAAGCAATGCAGTTGGGTTCGTTTTTATTTGAAACTTCTTTTAGAATATACTTTCGTTACTAATAAAATGGAACAAAATAATTGTATTTGGCGCACGAGGTTAGTTAATGTTATTTTTTTGGAGAAAATTGCGCTGCCTACTTCTTAATCCAGCAAGAAAAAAAATGTATAAAATTTAAGATTAGCTTCTTCAATAGTTTCTTTCGTTTTGGGTGGTCCAACTTCCGGCATTGAAAATCGGCGTAGGTGAATTTTTCAATAAAAATATAAGCCCCCCTAAAAATATTTGATGATAATTTTTTGAAAATTTGAACCCCAAATAAGGCCCCACCAGCCGTGAAACTGCCCAGGGCGATTTTTCGGATGGGCGAATTTACGGCAGAATCCGGTAGTTGTAGTAGTATACAAGCTTGCATGAATTGCACAGCTTATCACAAGCAGTGCTCACTGTGTGATAAATGCAAATTACTTGTGGTACCACGTGTCACATCTGGATTACTTGGGTCAATTTGTATAAAAAAGAAAAACATTGCCAAGCTATGGCGAAGAAACTATAACAAACATTCTCAACATTTCAGTGCAATGTGCACATAACATTTAAGCAGACCTCAAGTACCAGTGTGTACCGAGGTATAATTTGAATTTTTTGAATAATAAATGTATGGTCAAATATGTCACAAGATATTGCACCTAAACATATCTATATTTATAAGGTTATATCCTGCAGTATACTCAAATTAACAACAATATATTTCTATGTAATATTATACTCACTATTTTTCTGAGATTTTTTAAACGCTATATATTGAGAGAAAAACATCTTTTCCAATGTGTATATGCTACTTTGAAATTCTGATAACTCTAAAGTGGTACATTACAAATATGCCTTGTGTGTCCATGGTTGTGACCAATCACGACAATACATTCCAACATGTGACATCAAGGTATATTACATCAAGTATAACAGAATATAATATAAATCAGTGTTAATGAACATACCGCCTGCTAATGTTCTTGTACTAACTGGTAAATTCTTTGCAATCTGTTTGAGAATGGCATCCTGTCTGTCACCTCGTTCTTCATTTTCTAACCTATCAATGTCTGCATCTGTTAAATAAAACTGTATAAAGAAACAAAAATAAGAGTTATTTTTTGAAGTGACAAATCAATCAGTAATAAAATGTATTGCAGAAACATCTGTGTAAAATTAATCTTCACCATTATTCTTGTTTGTGTTGCCTTAAGACGAAACAAAACGAAAAGGTTTTGCTTTTTGTCACCGCACACATCAGTGTGAAATTTTGCACACCGATGAAGCGCATATGGTAGAATGTGGAAATGTTTGTTTCAGAGAATTGTCATTAAAAATATACCTTTATTGCACACATTTGAAAATATTATTTAATAAATGATAAACATTGAACATATATCTTGTTGTGGTATAAAATTAAAAACCATGTCACTGTATCATTCTTTCATTTTTCCTTGGACAAGAAGCAAAACCCTTTACTTTTTGTAATTACATACTGATACTATAGGAATTCAAAAGCAAATAGTCATATATTTAGTTAACTACATGTATAATATCATATATGGGCAAACACACAAATTAGTGGCAACTTAATTTAACTAAAATATACAAGAATCCCTCAAGAACATTTTTTGCTAATTTTGCTATGTAAATCTGAATATATAAGCTGAATAAATTAAAATGCCAACTACAAAGATGAGACCTTGAATACTCACTTGAGCACATGCATTACTGGTACTACTAGAGCAAAAGTGACAACATGTTATAAAAGATGGGGCTAAGTGCTCCATATGACCATTTGAATAACCACTACTAAATTCCAGACATGATTTCAAAGTTCTGATAGCTTGGGACATGCAGTGTATTGCTAAGCCCACTGGCACATTACTGGGACATGCAGTGTATTGCTAAGCCTACTGGCACATTACTGGGACATGCAGTGTATTGCTAAGCCTACTGGCACATTACTGGGACATGCGGTGTATTGCTAAGCCCACTGGCACATTACTGGGAAATGTAGTGTATTGCTAAGCCCACTGGCACATTACTGGGAAATGTAGTGTATTGCTAAGCCCACTGGCACATTACTGGGACATGCAGTGTATTGCTAAGCCCACTGGCACATTACTGGGACATGCAGCGTATTGCTAAGCCTACTGGCACATTACTGGGATATGCAGTGTATTGCTAAGCCCACTGGCACATTACTGGGACATGCAGTGTATTGCTAAGCCCACTGGCACATTACTGGGGCATGCAGTGTATTGCTAAGCCCACTGGCACATTACTGGGGCATGCAGTGTATTGCTAAGCCCACTGGCACATTACTGGGACATGCAGTGTATTGCTAAGCCCACTGGCACATTACTGGGACATGCAGTGTATTGCTAAACCCACTGGCACATTACTGGGACATGCAGTGTATTGCTAAGCACACTGGCACATTACTGGGACATGCAGTGTATTGCTAAGTCCACTGGCACATTACTGGGACATGCAGTGTATTGCTAAGCCCACTGGCACATTACTGGGGCATGCAGTGTATTGCTAAGCCCACTGGCACATTACTGGGGCATGCAGTGTATTGCTAAGCCCACTGGCACATTACTGGGAAATGCAGTGTATTGCTAAGCCCACTGGCACATTACTTAAACACTTAAATTTTATTGCAGTTCAAGGAAACAAAACAAATTGCCTGTCTACTTATCACAAGTGAAGCAGAACATGTCATTCAAAGGAAAAGTAATTTCCATTGCACATCATCACGAACAAGCAAAATAAAACATCTTACCTCTTTTGGTATTGTTGCAATTGATACCCATATCGTCTTGTAATACGCCCATAAAAAAAGGAAGAGGAAAAGGTGATAAAAGACCATGTATACAACTGAAAGGAAAAATAAGACAAATAATTAGTAATACCGCAATTCAATTCCAGATGTGAAAACAAACACAAAGCTTGTTTTATTGTTCTTCCTAGGTACCCAAGCATTGAGGTTAACTTGCATAAAAATGCATTTTGTGACATTAGAAATAAATAACATAATCTCCATTGGCTCTCGTTTTCATGAAAACAAAGATAACCCACACCCATCAGAAAAACTTCTAAATTGGGAAGCCAGTTTGAAATCAAGGCTGGTTACTGCTAATATTTTGTAGAGATGAACTTGATGTTGTCAGAGCCATATCTCGTTACACCCTGTGAGATTGAAACACTACTCAATGAATGTTTTCCATTCCAGTAATTTCACAATAGAAGATGAGATGAAACTAGAAGATCAACTTTTACAATTCTGCAATGGTTCCAAATTTGACTTGATTTCTTGGTTAGTGTTAGACATTGGCTTGTTTTAAAATTTTACCTCAGTAACAATAAATCTCCACAGCATGTTATCAGTAAATTAATTAATTTTTTATATGTCATCCAAAATTACTGACTTGGGGGAGAGGAATAATTTAAAACACTCTGGCAATGAATCCTTCTGTGGAGGACAATGCACCCCTTTTAATAAGATAGAGCCAAACATCTTCTGGAATAATCATCTTGAACAACATTTTTGATATTTACAAAGCAGTTTTGAAAGCTAACTGGGTTATTGAAGATGCATGTACATAGGAAACATTCAACATATCACATGTACCAGTTTATTGATTAGCTAAAGCGATCTAACACAAAATTGATGAGAATTTAATAATACATTTGGATTACAAGTTTAATCACTGTAAAAACCCTTTAAACCAACAAAAGGTTATTTGCAACAGAAAGTGAAAAGCCGCATGCATGGTAATTGATATGTATCCTGAGGACTGGCATTTGTATGTTTGCAGCCCATAGGATAAAGAACTGATAGACAACATAATAATGATTTAATCTTTATTGCATCCTTAGGAATACAAGTGATAATAAATGAAAAGGTTAGAAAAAAAAAACAGAATTTTAATATTACAAATCAAGAGAATCTTCATTTCTGTGAATAAAATTACCCAATAGCTTAATTGTATTTTGTCATTACTTTTCATTGAATAAATGAATGTCTCACTCAAGTTTAGCGTTGGTTTCTTTTTTTGGAAATAAAACATTAAAATGAAACTTCTTTTTGGACATTCCAAGAAGATGTGAATATTTAATACACAGCATGCAAAAACAAATTCTTGAACACAAATGTGTGAAGAAATGCTATGATCAACTAGACAGAATGGTACATGTACAAGTTAATGTATTGTCCCCAGTCAGTAAAAGGGGGAATACCGTAGACCATTTTCCGTGTAGCAGTGAGTGTGTAAAATTGAACATAATAACAAGACAAACAGAGAGAATTGACAATCACAAAACTATTTTTGGGACATTTTCACGTTTAATAATGTACTTTACACATTTGATGATGGTCAATTTAGATGAGGTAAGGGTATCCCTAAATAATAGGCATTTCGACATTGAACTATAAACATGAGAGATTAAAGTTTAAATAAAATAAAATCATTTGATTTTTGCAGCAGACATTCGATCCATGCCTTTTATGCATTGTATGAGATCACCTGTTATTCCATACAAGACCATATCTAACTCTAATGGTGACAACCGAACTCAGGCAGATTTGAACTCGGACAGTGGTAGAACTTGGCCAGTGGTTGAAGCCGGCCAGTGGGTTAGGTGCTAATGTAACAATTTCTAACAGATCATTTTATCTGTAGTCATTTGTTTTTGTACAGACAGCCAGAGTCATATCACGGTAAAATAAACTACTGTACTATAGGACTATACACGGACACACAAAAGATGAGTATTATTGATTTCTGTAACACAGTGACGCTGTGACAATTTCTAACAAATTGAAACATTGTTCAATTTGTTTTTCCATAGCAGAGCCAGATGTCTCCAATGCGACGTCTGTGTTTTTTTAAACAATCAACAACATCAACAATCAACAGCAGTTATTGAATTATTGAAATCAACAGCATATCAGTAAAGTGGTGTCTGAAAATGAAAGAGGGTGATAATTATTGACCCATTTCCCATCAGCCAACCATTTCACATCTGGCCACAGTCCCTCTATGATTTAGCCGAGTTCGACTGTTATGACCTGGTCAAGTTTTCACTCAAATGTATTGTGTCAGCAATGCCTAGAGTCAGTTTGTAGTTGTATACTACATCTGACCTTGCATTTCTGTTGGTGTAAACAATGACTGCCATGAAGACACTTGTAGCCATACATGTACAAAATAGTAATGGGTCAACTAGAGCATGGACGTACTAGAGAGTGACCATAGCTTATGTATACACATTGTATTATCAAGACTACACAGTAACAACTCACCTTTCTCTAAAATATTATCAACAGTAACTGTAAGGAGAGAAAGAGAAATGTCCTATTAGATACAACATTATTTTTCTAAACAAATTCATGCCAGGTCAATTTCATGCATAGACTTGGCATATTTGCATTAGTATTTTTAGAAATGTAGGCTTCAAGTGCTATTTTGATAATTAATCCCATAATTCTCACGCCTTTAAATTGGTTCCTTCATTATTTATCACGCGAGTTGTGACCCCGTATATCAGAATCCTTGATAAAATACAGTAATTGGAAAACATTTATTTTTTTAATTTTTGCTTTGTTTTCTTTGTATTTAATTAATGTTCACATCCGTCTAGAAACAAAAACTGGGCGATATGAATACTGTATTACTTTACACACAAAAACACAGAGCTGACTCATCCGTTCGTGCTTTCCTCGTGTTTTCAAAGCAATAAATGGAACGAATATCGAGGTGTCCATCAAGTGTTGTAACAAGAGACGATTCGCCGAAAATGACAGGGACAACAAAAGTTGTCGCGACTATTTCACCCAAGTTTTAAATAAAAAAAATATATGAAAACTTAACGACATTGTTTCGTGTTGTGTAAAAAATGACAGCAAAAATAAATCGCTATTTGTAAAATTCAATAATCACGGGACAAGGTGACCGTCGCTAGCCTATATATTGTGTCAGTGTTTACCGGGTCGAGTGAGTAAATGCAATGGCGACTAACACAACACAATTAAACGATTTCCGAACGTCATTTACGGAAGAGCAAATGTATACTTACATATACACAGCTGGATGACATACGCATAATATGACCAAGCAATTATTGCTGTGATAAATACTACCGGAAGCCATTTAAAAACCCTCGCACAAGCCCTCAAAATCCCCATGATTTCTTGTCCGGTGATAATATTTTCTTTTTCACCAAACCCAAAATCAGTTCCTTCTACGTCATCGAAACATACGTGTTACAAGCGCCCTCTAAAGCTCGACTTGGCTAGAAGGCGAATAATATAAGGGAGTAGTTACTATGCGATTATGTCGGCGGTATTTTTTGTCAAAGAAAGTCACAATGTAGTAAGGTCAGGCATGTTCTCATTAAAAAAGTACGAAGTAAAAGAAATATTTTGACATTAAGCAAACTACACAAATTTCATGACGTCACAAAGTGTGCTGTTTTAATGGCTCGAACGATAACTAGATAATTATTTTTTCCGATGATATGCTTTCTGAGGCAATTTTACAAAACACAAAATTTGACAAAAATCCTGTTTAAAATTATTATTAAATAGCTAACAATAATGTCAGATTTAAATATTCTATTACTAAAATAGAATATGGACAATTTATTTTGCGCTTTCGTTCAAAAAATATTTACTCTGGTTCGAGGTTAAATAAGTGCAGTGTTCTGATTGGCTGCTTTTGTAATTGGAGAACCCAGCAACCTATCTACATCAAAACAAATGAGTGTCCATCAGACATGGCTGAAACAGGCTGAGTTTTGCCGCTTACCTTCGCTTTCATCCACACGATTGGCATAAACCACCATCGCGGAAAAGGTCGCCTTATATTACAACGTTTGTGAAGTCCGCGATCTGCTCTTTGGGAGCGACAAAGTTGCTGTAAATAGATAGACTTCTACCTGGTTACGCTATCCTTGGTCGCAGACTGAGACGGGCGTGCTCGACGTATGTGGCTAGTTCCAAGCAACTGTTGACACTAAACTTAGCAAAATGTACGAGATAGATACGTCTAGAGTTCGATCACCATTAGAAAGTAAGTTTATCTGTCTTTCTAAATTGTCTGTATAGATTCTATATTTCGTTTTCTATGAGAGATGTACAGTCTCTAAAAGTCAATACGGTATGTATACGGGGATATGTAGATGGTGATATGTGGAGGTTTTCTCACTCTTATACTGTACCTGTCAATTTGTGTTTTAGTGCTCCCTGGCATTTGCAAGATGTTGATGTGATACATGTTAGCATGTTTCGTAACATTTAATTCGCTCAATTGACTGTGACCAGCTGTCGTCCTATTTTAATAAACTTAGTACATACACTATATTATATATATATATATTATAAAACAAACATAATGTAACTTTTTTTTAGTAATATTAATCTACATTTATTAGCTGGGATTTATATTTGCACATTTTGCTGGATGCTAAATGTTTTCAAATAAAATCTACGAGTAGTGAATCTATTGAGTTAACTACAAAAATTATTGTGAATTTATTTCAGGGCTTGACTTTTTAAACTCATGTGTCTGAAATGTACGTTGCCTATTATATTACTATGGTCTGTTTACTGTGGCTGCAAATATGTTTCGTACACATAGCCAATAATATCATCTATTAATTGGCTGAAACTACAGTGATACCAATCTATTGGCTTTCTGAAATCAACTTTGCTTGCAACACTGCTGTTTTGTTAGCAAATTAGCTGATGATAGTGCTTACTAGACGTACAACATTAAATGAAACAGATCATAATGCTAACATTTTTAGAAATAATCTCAAAAGAATTTACTATGAACAAATTTGGTTGCCAACTCTATCCAAAAAGGAACATAATAAACTACGTATTTACATTAAATACAAATCAGATTATGAATTTGAACCATATCTGAATAAAATTAGTAATTTAAATCACAGAGTAAGTGTAACCAAATTTAGAATTTCAGAATATAAATTACCAATTGAAAAATTAAGATACCAAAAAATACCCTCAGAGCAAAGATTTTGCACACTGTGTTCTGATCAGTCTGTTGGTGATGAAATGCATGCTCTTTTTGACTGCAAACTGGATGAAATTGTAAAGGCACGTAGCTACTTTTGGAATACTCTATCATTATACAATGATAATATTTTAAAATTACCAAAAGAAGATATGTTTGTGCATATTATGGGAATAAAAGACAGTTTCATTGCCAATAGTCTAGGAAAGTTTATTAACACAATTTTACAATGTAATACCTAATAGTTGTTAGTGTTATCTGTTTTAACATTTTATTGTATTTTTAATATCTGTATTTCTTGTTATTGTGTTGTTGTTGTTTTTTTGTTTTTTTGTGTGTGTATGATTATTGACCATGGTTAATGTATTTCCAATTCATTAATTTGAGTCAAATAAAATATACTATACTACCGGTATACTCTACTATATTCAGGGCCACAGTAACAAGCAAGTGAATTTCAATGTAGTTGTTCAAATGGCAATTTTACTTGTCATAGGCTATAGGACTAGCCCTAGTGTCAACCATTCATTGTCTTACAGTAGTGCATAAAACTCAGCCATCAAATCTGAATATTTCCCCCCTTACAAGTTTGTAACTTGTGTTGTTGAACTTTTTATTGAAACACGAGAAATTACCTGAAATGTCAGTTATGTTTTGTTTTGACAGTTATATATCATTACGATTAAACAATTAACCTAACAATGTGGGGAGGCCAGTTTAATTGCAATGTGGGCATTGTTAAACATGAATGGGGGGTACCTTTGTAATGTTGAATAAGTGGAAACATTGTACAATACCAACCATTGTGATAAAAACACAGTAACAAGGGTGGCAGTATAAAGGTCTTCTGAGGTGGTAGCAAAGAGCTTGGATAATTGTACCCATTTCTGTAATAGTAGTGGCTTAGCTTATATGCTGTATTTCTGCTCTACCTTTACATTTGTAAAATCGTCCATTTTTTTTTTCAACACCGAATTTAAAATTTTTCACATAATAAACCTGTCTAATTTATTTCATATTTTTTTTCAAAACTTTTGGCAATGGAAAGCTATGTCCATTTGGTCCAAAAGTAAAAAAGCAATTACAGAAAATTATTTAAATATGTGTAAAATGGTGCATGAAAATTTCAGTGGAGAAAAATGTGGCTTTCTGATGCTGTACAGAATTTGAAGATCATGCAAGGATTTCCCCATTGTATTTGTATGCTTCTTTATGATATCACGATTTATTATTACTAATTAAATAAAAACTCAGTATGATTGTAATGTACATGAAAACCATAGACCCACTAAAAGTTAGACGGTCTATGTGAAAACACAGAGATGTTTCGTACAAAAAAAATAATAAGGAATAAATAGGAATACATGAAGTTATTTATAAAATTTAGCTTATTTAACCAATAATCCATGAATGTTGACTCATTGTGTCTGACCTAATAGTTCAGCACAGTTTCTTTGCCACATCATGATTTGTAAAGACCATATTTGGTGATGAAGCAATCACAGACTGTTAGGAATCCCAATACATGTACATGTAGTTAATAATTGGTTTATAATTTTATTCAATATGTTTTTAACATATCATTGAGTTAACTATACACCTGAACAGCAGACTACTGTAAAATATTTTATTTTAGCTGGAATTAAATTTTGCTGAAAAGACTTTTTGGGTGTTTTGTATGGAATTTATTTTCACTGATTTTTGGCGAGTTGAATGCAAAATATAGGGAAAAAAGTATATTCACTGAATTTTATTTTCACTGAATCACTCTTTCAGCGAAAATTAATTTCAAGCGAAAATAAAGTATTTTACAGTAGTTCATATCTAATCTAATCTACCAACCAATTATTTGCCATAGCATACCGGGTACACTGTGTATAATACAAAGACGGCTCACTTGCTACAAGTCTCACAGTTATACAATGTTTCTGTCTTTCCCAGATCCAAAATGGGATTTAAAGCACACCAAGAATGGCACATACAACGGCAGACGAGTAGAACAAGTAGACTTAGAGGATTTACAGTCCGTAATCAAATTAAAGCCACCGCCAAAGAAAACCTGGGAACCGGATGTCAAGGCAATGATCTCCACCAAGAAATGGTTGGGTACACATGGATTGAAACGCAATAGACTATCACTAAATCAGATACTGCCAGCGATTGGCTTTAAACACTCTGATGGTAAGTGCATATGTGTATAAGTGTCTAATCCCTATTATTATATAGTAGTCCTGTATTTTATGTGATGTCTGAAATCTAGTTCAGTATATGTATAGAGCCTGGATATTTGAGAAATGGTAAAATTCCAATGTTATATGGTATCTGGGTCATATATTCATAATTGGTCTTAATCCAGAGCGGGTTTTGTGAAGTTATGTGAATAACAGAATTTATTATAATAATAAAACATTCCTAAAATATGAAAAACAGACATTAAATTTCTTAAAATCAATTATTTGAGAAAAGTTTAATAAACAAATGTCCAATTGAGAGATTGCTAAGATCTGACTAGTACATTTATTGTATTCATAGATTCCTGTATATGTAATTAATGAATGAACTTTTGACATCACAGCACAGCATGTAAAATTCCAAAGTAATAATGATTTCACCATGAAACTAAAATAATATTATACCAATGTCAATGACATAATTACGGTAAAGATTTGATAAAAATGACATAATTCAAAAATACAACAGCCATATGATAACAAATTATGTCTTTCACATACATTTAATATGCTGTTGTGTGACTGTTCTTCACACATTTTACCCCATACATAGGTTATATGCATGCACTATATGGCTTCAATTGTCATGAATGTTTTCAACAAAAGTCATTGGGTACTATACATCTGTTGTACTGAGGTCTAATATGATACATTTCAGATTTTAATTCCATGATAAATATAATATAAAATAATAACACATGGCGTTGGCAGTAAAAAATCTAATCTCTGTGTGAACAAAAGTTCAATTTTTTCCACTGCAGAGATCCAAATTAGTTTCACATTATTTCCAGCGTGTTGCCACTGTAACTATGAGCTTCAGTTAAACATTAGCTTGTAATGTACATACTGATTATTGGATTTTTCATATTATGTTTGCTCCATCTTCTTTCTTTGCAACTGTGATTTACGCCTAGCAATTATAATATGAGTAACTATGAATGTGAAGTATGAGTGCTTCAAAGTGGTACAGTAGTCGTGCAATGATGTATACATGTATGTACAGACGGCGATCATGTCAAACACAAGGCTGTCATCTTTCGACTAAGGCACTTTAATTCTTACGCTTGATACATCACCCTATTTAATATAAATGTTTGACCAACTATACTCATATACGGTATATATACTACATGTATCTATAATGTGTTAGGCTGTACATTTACTATTTGCCTTTTTAGGTAATTAACAGAGGTGATTCTATGGACATAATAAAGTATATTTCAATGATTAAATCAAAAATGCAATTTTTGTTTTTATAAAAGTTCTTTCAGTTAGAAATGTGGATTCTAGATTTTTTCTTTATATTACTATGCGGTTATGCTTTCATGCAATGCTGCTAGCTGAGGTTTTTGCCAGTTACAGAAATTGTACCCCCTCCCTCCAGACAAAAGAATCAATCAAACAAATGCCTAATATTTGAATTACATACAGTGTAAAATACATTATAATACTGTATTTCAAGTCATTATTGTCAAAAAAGCAAATGAAAAAGAAAATAATCACCAGAACATCTGACGGTTGGTTGGTTTTAAAGTATTTAACTGAAACATTATTGCGAGGTAAAACAGATTGATTTCTTCGTGTATAGGGGTAATTAGGTATTCAACTATTTTTAGTATTTACTGTAATGCATCTGTACAACACATATATGTAGATGGTCCACTCCTTCATATTTTACTTACTAAGTCTTACATGTACACACCAAGCAATTAGCAGTTTTTGTTATTGAGCATTGTAAAATAGTTGAATGGAGGAAGTATGTTGCAATAAATGTATATAAACGAAAATAACATTAAATAAATTATATTAATGTATATCATAAATGTGTATAAGTTAATTGTTATGGTATTGTATTCTCTGTAACAGACATTGTATGCAATAGAATGCAACAATACACTACACAGTATTTTTTTAATATATGGAAGTTATACCCTGACAAATTGGTCTACACCATAGAATCATTTCTCATCTATTACAAATGTTTAGGGATAAATTTAGTATTTTGCAGTTTATAATTTATGTTATTTAAAAAAATATAGTTATTCCTTGTTTTTTTTCTTTATTCACATTGTTTGTGTTGGGAGCCAATAAAGCACACACCCAGAATATTAAGAATGGATACTTGGCAAAATTTATTGACAGTTGTTACTTTAATAGAATAAAAGCTAAGAATTAGTACTAAGTGAATGCTTTTAACTAAAAATCCTACTTCATGAACTTCTAACATTGAAGAGGAACACTCTAGTTATTTAAGTTGCACCTTTGATCAAGAAATAGAAGATGTTTTTCATTTCTTTACTACATTACAATGTTGCATGACTGTACTTATCTCGTTGAGCAGTAAAATAATATAACTTCTATAAAATCTCTGTAAGGTTTTAACCTGTAGTACCACTATTACTTTAGCATATTATAAAAAATTTAAAATGCATTACCAGTTACCAGGTCTTAGTATTTTACTGCGTAAAATGTTACATTAAATAAACCAAACACACACATGTACATGTACAAGGCATGCAATTGAAAACATGTTGTTGTTTTTTGCGAACTAACTTCATGATTTCCCTATAGCCATATATGTACTTTGGTAGCCATTTTGAAATGCCTACTAGTCTTATTTCCTGACAGATGCAGGAAATAATTTTATGATATATTTTTGTCAAATTTGTGTTAACCAGACCTATAATTAATTCAACAGGTTGCTATATTTTTATACTGAATAGAGAGAGATTGAATAATACTGTGAACAACATTAATAATAATATTCAATTATGAAATCTCGATGGAATAGTCACCATCCCTTATAGAGGGATGCATGTACGCAGTTCAATTCGCTCTACCCAAGGTTTTATATAAAGTGGTTCTACTGAACAATAGGGATTATTCGAGATTGGACCCAGTTTTCAAAATACCCAACGGTGACAATGCCTTTATTTAAAATGAAAACAGCGCTGCATGCCCATTCTAGTGAGGAAAACAATTCAGGACAATCATTGTTTTCAAGTTCTATTTGAAGAAGGTCTTTGTACAGATGACTATGACACTGTGCTATACTATTCATGTGTACGTTGACTATTTGTACAATTCCAAAATGGGAGATTTTGTTGTTGATATTAAATTACCCACAAGAGACGTAATTAGGGGCTACTTTGTTTTATTGAAGTGCCTTCAAAGCCTCATCCTTGTAGACTTGGCTTGAAAATAATAATATTGCATTTTGTGACTTGGTTCTTTGCAAATTTGACATGCAACAATTAAATGATTTTATTTTTCTGTGATTGTTTGCCCTAGTTACCATCACTATTCACGTCATGTCACCTTTGTGTTTACACTCACATACTAACCCCTACTGACCCCACGACCTCTCTACATCTGACTCTCAGAACAATGAATTCACCCTTCATTGTTAGATATCCCCCACACCCAACCAATAAGTTCTATTGTTCTCTCTATATTTGGTTACTAAGAGTAATTGTTCAATCTGGTTTGTGTGTTCAAAGTGAAAGATGCCGCAAACAATACTTTTAAGTTCATGCCATAATTTAGCTGCATGGTTAAGGCTACTTTTTAAAACAGAACAATTTTCAAAATTTGTTGTTGTATGGTACACATGTTACGTCTGTCTGTCATTTAGTTTAGTTTTTATTGTTACACACATACCACACTAAAAGAGGTCACTGAAAGGATTATTTATGGCGCTGTCATTTAATTGCCATCTTAGCAACTCTATTTAGGTATTAAAATACTGCGTATTTTGTGCAAAATCTGTTTCATCTGTTTCAACAGGAATATGGAATTATAATAATAATGCTTATTTAATAGAATTCAGAGTTTGCATTTTCTTAGCTCTCTTGTTTGTAAACACTTTTTCTGTCACTGACTTGCATGTAGTTGAGTTTAAAGAAGAAGAACAGTATATTACATTTAGTTTACAGTGATTGAGTACATAGCTACAACAGAAAAAAACACTGGGTTGTTGCTACATATATTATGTTGTATTTTTGGTCATTTTTGGCTTTCGCAGGACGATAAATTTGCAAAGGATACCCCAGTCCTGATTGCTTTGATGCCTTTCAAAATAATCATAAATGATCATATTACATGCTAGTACACATTTTTACATTTTACTCAGTATTTCCATTGACACCTGTTGCATAGATTATTCATTAGGCTGTGCTTATTCTATTGCAATATGATCTAGTGCGCTTTGTATGTATTACTTCTATTAAAGTAGTAGCCACTTTATATTTATTAAAATACCATATTTTAAGATAATTACAACAGAAAAAAACACTGGGTTGTTGCTACATATATTATGTTGTATTTTTGGTCATTTTTGGCTTTCGCAGGACGATAAATTTGCAAAGGATACCCCAGTCCTGATTGCTTTGATGCCTTTCAAAATAATCATAAATGATCATATTACATGCTAGTACACATTTTTACATTTTACTCAGTATTTCCATTGACACCTGTTGCATAGATTATTCATTAGGCTGTGCTTATTCTATTGCAATATGATCTAGTGCGCTTTGTATGTATTACTTCTATTAAAGTAGTAGCCACTTTATATTTATTAAAATACCATATTTTAAGATAATTACTATAATCCTTTCAATAAATGGATCATGAACAAATTAAAGTCATTTTTAGATCTGGCTGAATTGTTGAAGTAAATTTCAAATTATATTTGTTGAGTGGTTGAATGGCCACAGTGTTTTATAGTCTGTAGTAACAATGATTGTTGTATTGTTGTTTTAAAAATAAAAATATAAAAGCACAATTCTGAGAAAAAGACCACACACCCACATCAATTTAGAACAAAAAATGTTCTTTTTAAGAGAATAAAATTCTTTTTCTGCACCTAAAACATAAATGTGGATTGATAAGAAATTATTTTAGTAGTAAAATTCAGTTGGAGGTGTGTTTGAAGAAGGTATGTTTGTTTGTGTTTAGTTTTCTCAATTGATTGTGATTTGCTTTAATATTAAATCATTTAAAGATAAAAATAGTTGTTCTCCAAAAACCATTTTAAATAAACTGATGTGCATGTGTATGAAAAAAACACTTTTAAAGATTTGATAAAATATATTATTTGTATAAATATTTGTAAGAATTGTTAGGATGCCAAATTTAGATATAGCGGTAGTTTAAGGTTCTTGTATGCATAAACTGCATCGATTATCTGTCAGGCAAATAACGTTGTGTTGTGCATTGTTACTTAGCAACAGTCACATGAGAGGTCATAGTCGGGCAATGAAATGTATGAAGTCCACAATTTTATCATAGCATGTGATCAGACATACAGTTTATTATTTGTGGTGGGGGTTTGTGATTGTAAAAATCATTTTAACAACTATTTTGTAGATAACAGTGTGTAGTTAACACTTGTATACCTCGTATACTGTTTTTTTTTATAACATCCAACATCAAAGAATGACAAATTATTTGTTGTTAAACATGTTTTGTTTTACAAGCATTATAAAAAAGTTTTTTTAATGTAATTATGGGTGGGTGGGTCGGGTCAACTTTTGAGGAGGGGCTGAATACATTGATATAGAGGGAGTATTTGGTGTGGTGTATTGGGGGAATGTGATAAGGTTTAAAAATAGAACAAACAACGCATAATAATAAAAAGTATCAGTAGCTAAAATATAATAAATCCAAGTAATCTGAAAAATGTCTTTTTATCAATATAATATATTTTATAGTTATATATTATTATGTATTATAGCACATATAGCCAGCATTGTATCAATTTTAGCCAGCATGATTCCAAATAGCTTTTATCAATTTCTGTGGCATTTATTTAATTTATTATGCATTACATGTCCATCCATTGGAGTTCAATTGTTACATGTGCCAAGTATCAATGTGTGTCTGTTACTAAAATGTATTCATTCATCAAAGAATTTTCAGTAGGTACTCCATGGAGGTCATGGGTCAAATTATATCTCTATAGCAACACCCAGTATAGTATTCTGCCAATGCATACTCTGGCTTCTCTATCACCGTGGCAACCTACATATGTTAATTTTTCTCATGTTTGGGTCACATCATTTCAATAGGTGCTTAGAAACATACATAATTTCTTTTTTCATTACTATGGCAACACATTTATTTTAATACTTACGTTTTTTCCTCCCCTACATAGATTTTGACAGATCACTAAAGAAACCGATTTGTTCTCGCTATGGTGAAGGCATGTTTTCTCGTTATCCCAAGAAAGACGGCAAAGTTTACAATGTAAGTAAATAAAATTGTGTCAAAATAAATATCAAAACTGAAAAAAAAAAAAAGGTTGCCCCCCCCCCCCCAAATTTTGGTAGGGCAAGTATGGTATTCGAAGAGTAAAAAAACAAAAATCACAGGAATTTGTATTGAAATTTAAACAGAATTTTAAAAAAATTCCAACATTATGAGAAAATTTAACTCTAGAATGAATTGCTAAAAGACAGACATTCTATAAAATTCTCAATATTTTATATTACCGGTAAAGATGCAGCAGATTCAACAAGTGGATTTTTACTATAAAATGTGCTGATATTTTGGGCCATGGAAAACCTTGTCTTTGTTGCCATTTCAGCTAAATTCAATGGTCTACTAATTCAGGCTTCACTAAAATTGTCCATGTCAAAATGTTTATCAGTCATCCACTTTTTGTAAATGGTTGGCTTCCTGTCAATTAGGTGACTATGTGTTGTTGTTACATTAGTGGTTGTGCGGCCATTCTTTTTTTATTGCTAGCTAGAATATTCAACTAATTTATTTTTAAGAAAATGTTATATCAAACCATTTTAGTATTTCATTGGATAATAGCAAAAAATATAGAAACAGGAATCATTATTCTTGAGTGCAAACACAATTCTCACGCTAAAAGGTTTATAATGGTTCTGTGTGTTTGTTTATCATTCATCACCTCAAGTGAGCCACATGTCTTTTGAACAGGCTGGCAAGTGAATTAAAAGATCACCAGTCATGAACAGACATTTAAATTAGTCAGAATTTTAATCATCATGAAATTAATTTCTTTAATGAGTATGCATAGCAACGGCAGGTACAGAATAGAGACATGATGTACTGGTAATTTGGTTATACAATTACACATAATTAAATTAAAACATAGTGTAGTTTAATGCATTTATAACTCACTCAGGAGGATTCAAACATTTATGAAATTTAATTTCTTTTTTTTCTTGATTTACAGATAACAGTGAGTAAAGAACGACTGAAACAGATTGAAAATAGCCTTTTGCAGGCAATTGTATTATACAAGCGACGACTGGAATGGCTGACGACTGAGAGTCGGCGTTTGTTTGGCGTTATTGAAGAGCATTGCATCACCATAGTGCTGGACATCAAAACAAACAACCCAAGCATGTTTGATCATTGTAGGAATGCTATGGTCAGACTTCTGGATGAACAGATTGGACAGATTGCAAAATTCAATCTTATTAGGTATGTTGAAGTGTCTCTCTGTAGAGTGAATGGAACAGTCCACTGACAGTATGCTCTGCTTAGTACCATGTTTGTTCTAGTCGTAACACATACGCTTAAGTAAATGACTTACGTGTGTCTATGAATTTTAATAATCTACCGTACAATAAATGCTATTGTTGGTTTACAAGCGCTTTCTATTGGAGATGTGCTCGTACTAAAATGAAAACAATGTGTAGCATATTCTAGTGTAGTTTTAAGATCGTAGACCATATATTGGTGTCTAGAATTACATGATATTATTGCCGTCAAATACTATTATGTGATGCTAATGTAGACTGGTACCCTACTTTCTATTTTTGAGTCAGTTTTTTATAATAAATATTCATGGGATATAATGCAAGTTCGGTGTGAATCTAGGTACAGTAATACATCTGGATAAAGACTATATTACTTTCATATAAATTAAAGTGCCATGTTATGTTTGATATTGGACATTTATAGTGTTTGTCAAATACATTGCTTTTTACACATAATATGAATGCATCTTGCCTAATAATGAAGGTGTGATTTCTGAAAAACAATATATTTTTGACTAATTTTTTTATTTTCTTATTATCTATTTTTTGTTTATTTGGAGATAACTCTTTACTATTTTATGAATTTCAAATTAGACAATTTATGTTTTTGAATATTTTTTTATTTTAGAGCTGGACAAGACATGGTTATGTTCCAGGATGCTGCAGTACCAGTCTGTCGAGAGAGTCTGGATAAGGCAATTAACTGGATATTCTCACTGGACCATGCCGCTGCCTCCACCAAAACTTGTGCCACAGAAGCTGTTTTCAAAGCAATGTCGGACAAAAATGTAAGAATTCAATTTTTGTTCTTTTTTATTTTTTGCGGAATATGGCAGTAAATGTTGTTTATAGCACATGTCTGTGTGTATTGGAGAGTGTTTGTGTGTGTGTCTGTGTGTATTGGAGAGTGTCTGTGTGTGCGTGTGTGTGTGTGTGTTTGGGTGATTTCCCCCAGCACTGATGATTAATAGAGATGTTCAGCTGCAACAAAGCACAATTACTGTGAAGCGCATGACTATTCACTAGATTTTAATAACATTATTTTGCTGGTTGAAAAATAGATTAAATTAAGCATATGTCTTGTTGGTTCAGTGAGGAAACCATGAACATAAAACCTAGCAAGTACAACTACTGTGGAATACTTTATTTTTGCTGGAATTAATTTTCGCTGAAAAGGTTTTTTGGGCGTTTTGTATGGAATTTATTTTCACTGATTTTTTATGAGTTTAATGTGAAATATAGGGGAAAAAAGTATATTCGCTGGATTTTATTTTCACGGAATCATCCCTTCAGCAAAAATGGGGAAAATAAATTCCAAGCGAAAATAAAATATTCTACAGTATATAGTTGCTCGCCTTTCATCAACCAATATTAAAACCTCACAATCTGATTCCAAATTGTAACTGTAATCTTTCTATTTATTTTTTTGTGGTGGTTTAGATTGAAGCCGTGTACTTATTTTCTGAAGGTGGTTCAACAGAGAGTGCAAGGGAGTTACTCAAAGAAAAAGTAAAAAATGGTTCAATGCCTGTCAATACAGTGGCTTTCAACAGTACTGATTCCGTCACTATTCAGTTTTTGAAAGATGTTTCCAGAATTACTGGAGGAAGGTGAGTGCAAACAAACCGATACGTGAAGCTCATATTTCTTTTGCTGATAATTGAATAAAAGACGTCAACAAAATTATTATCATTAATTTACCACTCTGGACAAGGATTTTCAGGAACGTAAACAGAAAATACTATGTAAAGAATCATGTTTTATTTGTTTTCATGTGAGAAGTTGCTTTGTATACATAAGTCGCCATGGTAATGACCAAAATTTAATAGTGAATGCTGGAAAAATTGAGACACTCTACTGTTATTGACAGTTGTCATGTCAACACCTGTTACTTGTCAATGTCACTCATGCCTGTAAATCAACCCCTGTAAATCAACCCCTATCAGTGGATTAATACATAATATCTATAATAACTAAAGGTTCCAGCGACTACCTGTTTTTCTTATATAAACACTTGCCTTCTTTTATGGCATATATATATATTGATCAGTTAACCAGATAGCCTAAAACACTCTAATTGCCATGGTAATTGATACTTAGCACTGTGCATGATGTTTTAGAAGGCTTTGAAAAGTTAGCAAATATTTGCTGATGTCAACCATGGACTTTAAGCTCTATCAGTATATAATGCATAAACCGATAGATTTCATTTGTATACCATACTGTGTCATAGTTCAGCTTAGCCTAAGGTGGGTGTTATCATATATAGGTAACTGTATTCAGAGACCTGGGGTCCATGCTTGTACATTGTGCACATACAATTAGTAGAACCTAAGCCATTAACCTTTTCACCACCAGTTCCCTCTTTTCATCCCAAATTCACAAATACCCGGTAGTCATGTTTATAGTCTGCACTTGCCTTCAGAAGATTGGGACAAAAATAGCTAATTTTTTTGAGTAAAAAATGAAAATTGACTGAAATTTTGTCTCTTGGCTCTAAAATTAGGGTTCATTCTCAGGAAATTGAGGTATATAAGAAAAAGGTGCAGACAAATTTTGACAGGAATGTCTGGTGGTGAAAAGGTTATCTCCCTTCCTTATGTCATACAAGCTTTAATATTTGCAATGATTATGCTTTTGAGAAGACACTAGTGCATGTATGTCTCTACTGACTGAAGTCATGCTTATAATATACATATCATATCACTTATTGCCTATACTGTAAATGATATCTTGTTTCAACAGATTTCATGCCTTCGCCTTCACCAAGCTAGACTCTGACGTGTATGGCACCAGTGCCTACAACTCAGATCAAAAACTTCTACATGGGGGAGTGCCACCGGGTGCTGGAATGAGAGACGATGTGGTCAAACTGTGGGAAGAACTTGAAGAAGCTAGAAATACATTATCAGAGATACAGCTCCTGAGTGAGGATGCTGTAGAGGGCAAAGGTGAAAGTGCAGGTATGTTATAGTTGCACCTTTACATACAGGGAGGGGGGGGGGCAAGGGGGGTAGCTGTACAGTTTTACAGGAAATAAAAAGGGCTTTTTACAATTCACAAGGAAAAAAAGACGTTTTTACAGTTAGCAGTGAATTGTGTCATCTAGTCGTTTTACAGTTTCGAAAATGTAATTACCCTGGATTATTCTTTACGACTTTTTGTATTTGGATGTAAATCCTTGTACGTACCGAGAAAAATGACACATTTTTACAGTGTACGAAAAAAATATTTGATTGATTTCGTTGTACGTCTAGCCTGTGATTACAGAATTATGGAATTTATTTTTTCAATTTACGTTGTATGAACCCAAAAATATTGCAATTACTGTAAGAATACTTTATTTTCGCTATTTTCGCTGAAGGGGTGATTCCGTGAAAATAAAATCCAGCGAATGTACTTTTTTTCCTATATTTCCACATTAAACTCATCAGAAATCAGTGAAAATAAATTCCAAGCCAAACGCCCAAAAAGCCTTTTCAGCGAAAATTAATTCCAGCGAAAATAAAGTATTCCACAGGTACTTCGAACGAAAATAACCCTTGCCCCCCCCCCTCCATACAGTTTTCACAATGCCATCAGCCCATCAGCCATGCACAGTGCTGCCAGTGGAAATCATTTCTTTTTTCACCTTGAAATAATCTTTCTTTGTAGTTTTTAGTCCTCGTTCGGACGCAGTCCGAAAATGGGGACTTATGTTTTGACCTCCGTGTGTCCGTGCGTGTGTGCGTGCGTCTGTACATCTGTGCGTGCGTCCGGACCTGTATCTTAGAAATGCCTGGACCAATCACAATCAAACTTCACACATACATCACACATGATATTATACATATGCACGTCAATTTGTTTCACGATCTGATTTAAGATGGCCGAATGGTGGCCATTTTGTGCTAAAAATCATCAAAATCAAGCATTTCCCAGC